GAAGGTGAGTTGGGTGGCTGCCCAGCTGGGTCCTTACCCTGAGGCCCAGTAGTTCCATTGGACCTCTGCCCTGGCTTTGAGCCAGAGTTGGAGGAAGGTGGGAGGGGCAGAGGCAGGTAATGCGGAGAGTTTATGAAGGTGAGGGGGTTGCCTATGCCAGGAATTGCCCAAAGTCCCAGCAAGGCCGGGACCTAGCCTGGGATTGGGCGACAGCCAGAGAGGGGTGGAGATGACAGGCTTAAAAGGAAGGCTCCTGATGATTGCTAGGAAGGAGAAGTGGGCTCAGCTTGTTTTTTGTCATCTTCTGGTGTGGAACAGCGGTCACTGCAGGTGTGGAGGGGGAGGTATTTGTGAACTTCCTGCGTTGTGCAGGGGATTGGACTAGATGACCCTGGAGGTCCCTTCCAACTCTATGATTCTGTGAATGTGAGCTGCTGCCTGGAGAAGAGATGAATGTGAAGCAACTGCCTCTATTTCCCAATCTGAGGCCTAGGGGAGGCACTTGTGGCTTTCAACAAGATGGCCGAGATATGGCTGGCTGGGACTGGACAAGGGGAGAGCCACACATGGTGAAAGTGGGGGTTTGAACCTGAATGTCCCAGCCTGTAGTCTGACACTCTAACCCAGGAGTGTCAAACATACAGCCTGGGGCCTGGAACTGACCCATCCAGGGCACTTATCTGGCCTGTGAGCAACTGTTGCGAGGGAGGGAAGATATGAGGCTGCTGGGGGGGAGCAGGAGCACCCGGTGAGGTGTGTGTTAGGAAATTAAGCTGTTAAGAAATAGGGGGCAGGACTGAGAAACTGAGGTAAAATAGTGCGGAGAAAGAGGAGGTGTGGTGTTTTCACCCTCCCGCCTCCTCCAACTGCAGCTCAGCAAGGATTGACAAAGCCACTATGTGGAGCGGTGGAGCTGAGCAGCCAACGCTGCCAACGCTGCTCCAAATGGTGACTGTGAGGGGTCAGCAAGAGCAGGCACACAGAGTGGTGATTTGCCAATGAAAGGACACGGACAGAAGGGGAGAGAGGAGGAGGAGGGCTGTCATGTGGATTGGGAAGCAACTGGGCTGTCTTGTGTGTGCCGCTCTGAGGGGAAAGATGTCCTAGACTCCGAAGCGAGTGGAAGAATGTAGGGGGAAAGGGGCACCACTGTCGCTGCTACATGTCTGAACAGGGAGGCAGAATGAGTATTGGGGAGAGGGTGGTGGTGACCTCCATTCTTCCCCAGACCTATTCTCAGCACATGAAAGAAAAGGGGTCATGGCAGGACAAATATACCCCTTGGAGGTTTTGGAAACAGCCTGTCCATCATGGCTTTCCCTCAGCCCCTCTGCTTCTGTGGGATATGCAGGAAGGATGAGAAATGGCAGTGGGGGGATCTGGGAGAGCCAGGTTGAGACCCCCCCCCCCGATCCAGGAATCTGTTGTCTGGGTCACTCGGGGCCAGTTGCTCAATCTGGACTATCTCATGGGGTTGGTGGTGAGGATGGGGCTGTGGAGGAGGAAGTCTGGTGTGCCTCCTTGAGATCCTCAGAGGTAGGACAGGGAAGAGAGGAAACTAAGAGTGAGAGACAGATCGTAGCCATGTGCAGCTGCTGAGGTTGGGGTTATGGGGGGGTACTGCAAAACTGCCTTATTTACTTGCAAGGAAGATGACTTCTCTCCTAAAAGTGCTGTTTATACAAAAAGTAACTAATTTGTATGGAAATGTAAGATACCTAGTTGGAAAAAACCTAGTCTTGCATATGATTAAATATATTTATTGGGGGGTTTGTGGATTCCCCAGTAAATCAATTGCTTTCCTTCCTATGAATTGATTGCTTTTGTTTGTATTTTGAGTAAAAATTAATATTGTTAATTGGGTTTGCCTGTGTCCTTCATAAAGTTTATATCTTCGGAATCTGGCATTACATTTTATGACACATATGGCCCGGCCTGGAATAGTGACATTTATGTCAGGTCTGGTTCTCATAATAAATGAGTTCGACACCTCTGCAAAACCATTACAACACACTAGCTCACTGGTATATCAATCACTTAATCAGACATCTCATATAAAATTAAAAAAGGAAGAAGACCAAGAAAGGAGTGCATCTAGAACATACCAAGTTCTGTTATGAATGCTTGATCTGGTTCTCAGAGGGTGTGTGTGTACAATAACACACATGGTCTTGAGAAAGTTAAATGGGACTGCCTTCTGTGTGAACTCTGTAGGAAAATCCTAACTACAGTAGCTACTTGACAATAAATGTAGCATCTTTATATGTGATTTTAGCATATTGGTTCTCTTTCCCATTAGCTACCTGTGAGATGTGCGGGATGGTTGGTGTCAGAGATGCCTTTTATTCTAAAACCAAGCGTTTTTGCAGTGTTTCCTGCTCAAGAAGTTACTCTTCGAACTCTAAGAAGGCCAGCATTCTGGCCAGACTTCAGGTAACGGTACAGTCACAATTTTATTCTCTTTATTACATAGATAAGACATTTGTGCAAGAGTAATGCATGTTTTTTTAAAAGAAAGCTATTTTTAAATGAAATGTAATAGTATTCCAAGAACATAAGAATAATTAGATTGGACCAAAGGGTCATTCAGTCCAGCATTTGGTTTCTGGCAATGGCCTGCTGTGTGCTTCTGAGAAAGCAGTGAATTAAGCTAAAAATCCTCAGAACTTTAACTTTTCTTCATAAGGAAATTTCTTCAATCCCCTGATGATTTTGGTTACCCTTTTATGTAAACTTCTATTATTTTTCTTCAACTCCTCTATATGCTGAGTTAATCTTTTTTCAGTGTTCTATCTACCATGAATCCCAAGATCTCTCTTGTAGATAGTCATGGCTAGCTCAGACTCCCATTTCCTCTGTACCATCTGAGAATATAGCTATGTTATCGCTCAGAAAATTTAAGCTTCTATAATTTAGCTTCTATTTTTACTTCTATAAATGTGAGTACCAAATATGACAATAAAAATTGCTGTGTGGCCCAATCCTGTGCATATTTACTCAGAAACAAAATCTGTTAAATTCAGTGGAGCTCACTTCCAAATTAGTTGTATTTTTACTTTACAATGTCATTTGCAAAATAGCCAGATAAAACAGATTTGAGTAAAATAAATACCCACAAATACATAGTAAGGTTAGTTTCAAATGAGGAACAAAGTAGAGTAATCTTTACCTATTTCCAGAATGCTATGAGAGAGGCAGTCAAACAGTTTGTGGGACATAGTTCCAGAGCATCAAGGCAGAAGCCTGTGCTGCTTGTACAGACCAATGTGGCTTTAGTCTAAGGTGGAACTTGAAGCTGGGCTTCATCAATAGATCTTAAATTCTTGATACATTCATTCAAAGGGAGGAGTGGGCTAGATCCCAGGATGCACAGGGCTTTATAGTTCAAAACTAGCATCTTTAAATGGGCTTGTAAATATGCAGGTAGCCAATGTAATTGTTTCACTATGGGTGTTGCATAAATGTGCAAACATATCCATTACAATTTAGCTATGTATGAAGCAAGATGGGGGTGAATTACCCTCAAGTTATGAACTGGACTTTTATGGAGAGTGCAAGTCTGTTTAGAAAAACTTCATTTGGATTGAGTTTAAATTTTTTTTACCCTTGTCCAGAACATTACTGAACTCAAGCAACACGTTCTGAAATATCATCACCTATCCTGGACTGAATGAGAAGGAGACACAGACAGATGTCATTTGCATATTTTAAATACTGCATTCCATGACTCTGGGTGACTTCTCCTAGTAGTTTTATATGCACAAAATTGATTCCCTAGGCACAACGCAGGGAAGAATTGTAGTTTCCCAGCAACATTTAATGGAAGTTTCTTTCCAGGAGGAAATAGTACCAGTGCCTTTTATTCCCACTGTGATATACAATCCAGAAAAATTCCATGGTTGGTGTATTGAAAGCCGCTGAGAGCTTCAGGAGAATCAAAAGGGTTATATACCCCTGTCTTTCTCTGGGTTGAGGTCATCCATCAAAGCAGTTTCTATCCTGAATCCCAGTCCAAAACCAGTTTGAAATGGATCTGGATAATTGGCTTCATTTAAGAGCATTTGGAATTATTCAGCAGCTGCTTTGACGAGAACCTTGCCTAACATTGTAAGTTAGTGCAGACTTAAAATTAACTATCTTGTTGTTGTTGCAACTTATTACTGCTTGATGTCACCAGCCACCTAGGACAAATGGTGGCCTGAATGTCTCCAAGTTACCTCTCCTGTGTCTTTTGGTGAAGCAACTGCAGCTGACTTTGAGTGTAGAACTAACAGTCAGTGTCTGAGTTGAAGCAGAACTGAGCACATTTTTCTTAGTCTGCAAAATGTTTTGCAAACTGGTGACAGCAAGCTACTTTTAGTTTCTTGGACTTCTGTTAGCAGAAAAGTAAAAGTTCTTTGCTGCCAGATCCACCATGTAACAGGCCTTCAAATGGGTTGTAAACTGTATGCTAGAGTGAAAGTGGCAGAAAACTCTGGAGAAGGCTAATCATCTCAGCAGCTTCATCTTCAGCAAGGTTTCAGAAAATCAAGGAGCAGTCTCATATCTACATCATGAGAATAGACATCTCGAACAACTGTTTCAGTGGGGATACACCCAGTTCTAGAATTCTCACAGGGCCTTAACAGGACATCCTTCCAGATGGGGAGTTGCTAGCCAAAGAACAGTCTGGAAGTTCATAAGCATCAGTAAGTTTTGGGGATAGACCATTTTTAATTAGTCTCCCTCCACTTGCAAAAGTTAATAAGCCCCATGACTCCAAGTAATTATTTGTTCATCATGAGGGAAGCAAAATCTACCCATCCAAAGATGAGCACCCTCGTGTTCAGAACAAATACCAATTTGAAAGATTTCCTGGTAGAGCATGGGAGGCTGAAAGCACATTGGAACAGCCCCATGACTATCATAGCAGCCATGAAGTCCTGAGCCACTCCAGATGAAAGGTATCAGTATAGGTATTGTAATCCAGAACTAGCAGCCAGGAGGTTGACAAAACCAGGGTTGAGATGCTCCTTAAACTCAGAGAGTCTATTAAATGTGTGGTAGGCAGTATATTTATAGAACTAGGAGTAAGGCCTGTTGTGGGAAGAAATACAACGAGCTCTAGAAAGTGGCTTCAGGTGAGTGTCCTGGCTATGGTCTTTCAGCATTTAGCATCAGTGTGTTTGCTTGGTGCGAGTGGTCTTTTTTTGTCCTGGGAAGTGCTAGGGATATTAAACCATTGAGGCTGTATCTTGAGGTTGCATGTGTATGTAGGGCAAGTGATATTGGTTGGCAGCTGGATGCAATGGTTCCCTAGAGACTTCCAGGGCCCACTGGGAGGTTGGGAACCCCAGTGAGCCTTGTTTGGAAATGCACAGAGGTGGAAACCACTGATCTGAACTTGTCACTGTTCGCTGATGCAGGTTTGAAATTGCAAGCATAAGGTACGCTAATAAGTATTTATTGCCATCCAACTGAGGAAGAAAGCAATTAAACAGGGTTGAAATATATAAAGTAAATAATATAACTGACACTTCTCTAATTGTGTGGACAGATGGTTTGGCCATGCCAATTGATTTTACGAATGATTACACTTTACATTTTCATTCAGGATTGGGGATTTTTTTGAAAAACTGTTTGGGTTAGCTGCCATTCATCCCTACATGGAAACGCTGGGCCCTGTTGCCTCACTAAATGTTAGAAAACCTTGCAAATCCAGGCTCACATTCAGAATGCTTCTTTCCCTTCTGCTTAGCTATAAGGCAGGCCATCTAATTTTGCTGCCCCAAGTGGGTAGTATGGGGGGAGAGTCACATGGTAACAGGTATGCTTACCTCCACCCCTGACTTACGTTGATTTGGGGCTATGTAGTGGCAGCTGAGGTAGAAAAGCACCTCCCTCTATGCCATGTTTTCTGGGTTCTAAGAGTCTGGTGGTGGTGGGTCTGGAAAGCAGTTCCTTAGCCAGTTAGAGGGTTGGGAAATACCTGTTTTGAGGGGTAGAGCCTGGGGAGGGCAGGGTTTGGGGTGGGAAGGACCTCAGCAGGGTATAATACCATAGAGTCCACTGCCCAAAGCAGCCCTTTTCTCCAGATCTTTGTCATATGGAGATCAGTTGTAATAGCTGGAGATCTCCAGGTGCAGCCTGGAGGTTGGCAATACTAAGGGGAGGGCCAGGTTTGCTGAAGGACTTCAGTGAGGTATAATGCCATAGAGCTCATTCTCCAAAGCAACCATTTTCACCATGGGGACTGATCTCTGTAGTTTGGAGATCAGTTGTAATTCAGAGAGATGTCCAGGCCTTCCCTTTCCCCCCCAACCCCTTTCAATTCCAAAGCTGCTTCCAATTTAACACTTAACGGATTAATGCCCCATGGCCTCTTGGGACTCCAACTTGGGAGTTGTAGTTCTAATTCCCTTTGCTATGGTTGCAGTAAGGCCACTGAGAACTGCAAGTCCCAAAGTGCAACATGTCAAAAGTGGGGGTGTAAGAATGGAGGAGCTGGTGGGACAGGCCAATAGGACACCAAGGCAGCTTCCCCAGTGGCCAATGGGAGAGTAGGCGAGTTGTCGCCAGCACGGCTTACCATTTATATATATATTTAGGATTCCCAGTCTCTAGTACCAAATACAACATACGTACACTTAGCAAAGATAGTTTGTTGGCTTATGATTCCCAGTGAACAAGATGGTATGTTTCATGGCAATCCACTTTCCCACTCAGTTTCTTCATGCTGAAACTGCATCAAGTAATCAGCCAGAGAACATTGTGTTTGATCTTGTCAGGACACAGTGATACATGCTTGGTTGATATTTTCATTGAAAATAAAGTACTAGATTACAGTTGTTTAAGGACCAGCCTGACGATAAACTACTGGGAGTCCAGTAACGTAACTTGAGTCCCAGGGTCAAGAGAAGGACCAGAGGAGAAGATGTGTACCATTTGTTTCATCTGTCTTTCTCTCTATTGGCCCATCCAAGCTTCAGCAACACATTTCCCCCTCTTGCAAATAATGCCTCTAATCCATTTTGTGTGATCTGTCTGGCACTCTGCCCAAAACGTGTAAGACCACTAGAAACAAACAGAAGGAGGAATCGAGTGAATGGAGTCAAATGAGAGGAACAATCTCATCTAATTTAATGGTGTTCTTCCACTCTGTGAGGGAGAGGCATGTAAACCTTCATTTCTGACCACATTCTCTGAAGAATGACAAGTCAAACTCTTACTGATCGTTCCTCATGATAAAGGGAGAGGAACATTTTCATCCAACTTTTTCCTTGTCAAGCTTCCAGGTCCTGGCACTTGTTCCACTTGTAGTGTCTGCCCAGAGTTCATCTCCATTTGATGTCCAGTGGTGCCACTGTTGGCTTCTATAGGCTACCAGAAATGCTCCTTCATAGCAGGCTAGAATGGTTAGGAAGGAGCTCCTGGACTGGGGGTGGAAGAGATGGAACCAGAAGCACAGAACACACATAGCACGTTCTAAGTTGCCTCACCTATTGGTGGTCATTTTCTCTCTGATCTGGGATAAACCCTCACCAGAAGTTCCATTACTCCATAGTGCAGGTATGCATAGGAGCATAGGATTGCATCTGTAGCAGCTTGATTTGCTGAAGAGTTAAAACTAATCAATTTCATTTAAAAATATTAAATGTCTCCATGAAACATGGCACAGGATATAGGAGTGAGATCAGAATGTATGAGACCAGTTGCTACAACCACCATTTTCAGTCCTCTATCGAGTTTCTGTGAAGGTTGCTTTACAGCTCGGTAAACAAATATGATAGTGCTCTTGAGCAATAGCAAAAGGAGGCAATGGGGATGTTCATACTAAATTTTCCTATGGGTCGTGTTTGTCCTATTTATGATTATGTACAAGGAATCAAGTAGTGTGTATGTGTACGTTACGCTACCCTTGGAGCAATGAATGTACAATTAAATTGGCTGCTGTGGGCCAGTTGCACCTGCAGTGTTAAGTGTCCCTCTGTAACAGCAGAATACTAATGCAGTTTCATCTGAGAGTATTTGTTAGTTTAAAAGATCATGATGACTAATTCTGCTGGTCTCTCTTGAATCCTAATTCAGAGTGTGAATAATCAGGATTGGGTATTAAAGATTTTCTAACACACTGGATAATTCCCAAACAAAAATAAAACAATTTTTATATTTTGACTTAAAACAGTATTCCTCAGATAGTTTTCTGTACCTGATACTTTAAAGAAAACCCTACACTGTGACATGATGGCTTTGATTTTAATCATTCCATTCCTTTTCAGATACATATTATTGGCACATTGCTTCTTGTGATAGAATTTCACAGATTATTATAGAGAAATCATTGTATACTTCCCCCCCCCATGTGGTGTTCCCATTAACTGTTTTGTGATTGTAATAGATTTGAGTGCATTCTCTGAAAGCTGCTGGCTAGATATTTTATGAATGTTCTGACAGAGCCAAATAGATTTTATCCATAAATTTAGGACACCACTTTTCTCAGCCTGTCTGCTTTTAAAATATTTTTGTAAGAGTTCGTTTGCACTTGGAGTTTGCCTGTTTAAAACAGGTGTTTTTCTTCCTGAGAAATTTTGTTATAAAGTGTTTTGAGCAGAATGACATTGTGTTTGCGAAAAGGACCTTATTTAGCTCTTGTTGTTTTAGGGAAAACCTCCAACTAAGAAGGCTAAAGTTCTACAGAAACAACCTTTAGTTGCTAAATTAGCTGCATATGCTCAATACCAAGCAACGGTACAGAATCAGTCAAAGACTAAAACAGGTAACATGGGCATTAAGAATCTGAGGAACCATAACGATAGTAACATCTGTAACTGAGTGGAATCAGTTTCAAAAGAGTTGTAAGATCTTTTAAAATATATAATCTGCAGATACTTGGGCTAAGCAAGGGTGATTTCTCTAAATATTTTGAGGGTTGGGGGGGTGTCTTTGAAACAGTAGGACTAATTCCAGCTGTGTTGGACATTGGGATGATCCAGTGATAAAGGATGCTAAATAAAAAGGATGAGAAGCTTAGCTGATTGGTCCTTGCTTGCATCTTTTTAGTTATATTTGAATATTGGAAAGGTAACTTTATCATATCACATTGGTTTGTTTGTAGGGATGGTTTTTCCCATACTATAGTGTCTGTGACTGTATTTAATGATTTCCTAGGGGCTGTGATGACATCTGCACTGTGTGTACTGCTCTCTGCTCCTGGCCTCTAATAGTTAGCATTGGTGAAAATCTGTTTTATTTAGGTGGATTAGTTTTGAATGTGGTGGGTTATGCCTCTGAGCAGGCTACTTCCTAGATCCTTTGAAAGTTTCTTCTGATCCAGCTTTTCTGTGACCAACAGACTAGAAACCAATATTTGGAAATATTGTAAATATCAACTTACTTGTATACCTTGCTAAATAAAATAACTCTCATTCTAGCATCTGTTCCAGTGGAAGGTTTCAACTGGGGTAACTACATCAATAGCAATAGTCTCACAGCCGCTCCTGTTAACTGTTTTAAACACGTAAGTATGTTTTACTTTACTGAGAGTAGTATAAAAAAGTATATAAATATGAAATAAAGGTTCAGGAATTTCCAGCCTGAAGAAGCAAACTGCTTTTCATTTAAGGAAGGGGCTGTTACAGCTTTTGTTGCAAAAAACTTGGAAGCAGCCTTTGGTTATATCTCTTGTTTTCACCTACATGCATAAAGCTTCTTCCAGTTTCCATAAAGTTGCTATCTGAAGCAAGTATGCCTTGATACTTTTGTCATGTCAGTTTGTCATGTCAGGCTTGGGTGGAGAGTTCTTCTTAGTAAGTACCTTTCTTGCTTGTATTGTAAACTGCCCCAAGAACATCTTGTGTAACCAATGGAGTACTCCTCCCCAAAAGGTGGAGTTCAGCACAAGCATGTTTTTCAGGTTGATTTTGCAAGATGGAGCATGTTGCAATAAGCTACTTTGTCATTAATAAACGGCATTATGTATTAAGCTATATGATAAAGATTAAGTAGATTACTTAAAGATATAAGAATAAAATTGCTTCAGTAAAAAATCAGCTACTGTAGTTATGAGAAGAACTTGTGGTATTAATACAAGTGGTATTTCTACAATTCATTCTCTTCTACAGTTCCAGCCATAAGGCAGTTCAGGATTTCTTTTGTGATGCTATCAGAATGGGGAATGTCATTTTTGCTCAGTTTATTGTAGCAGCTTGTACAGTTTTTAATTGTACTCTACTGGATCTGGACATCTGTGTAGCAGTAGCAAACATGGTAACAGGGTGGTGGTGGGGAGCGTGAGTGGAATAAGAGGCAGAAGAACTAATCTGGTCACAGTTACCAGGACAGCATTACCAAGACAAGGCAAACACTCAATCTTTTAGCCTCTTATACTTAGTTGTTGCCACCTATTCACATTTTTCCCCTCTCCTCTTCATTTCACCTCTGTCCATTGTTACTGTGAGTTTAGGCATATTGAAAGAGAACAGACCACAGTCAGCAAGTAGGGCAGGTGTGGCTGCAGCAAAGGAGTGTGCTAACAGGCTCCCTGTAACTGGAGGGACCTGTGTAGTCACTTCAAAGCATACGTCAGACATAGGTTGCCTTCCTGACTGACTACCTTTTGTTTTCAGTGTTATATATGCCTCAGAGCTGAATCCATTTATAAGGAAACAGAACTAGACATGGCAGAAAGAAGTGCAGTAGATATGTATATCAGAGACACTTTCCCTGTATTTTTTATAGTAACAGAAGGCTTCCATTATTTTTTTCTGGTTCTGCTTAGTTTTAAATGTGACTTCTGGGTTCCCCCCCCTACTGAGGTGTGATACGCATGTCTAGCAATTTTTGACCCAGCTATACCTCTAAAATGTTTAGCTAATATAATGTATACATTATTTAAGCTTATTTGTATGGTTTTGGGAATCTTAAGTCAAGAATTTATGCCAGTTGATACAAGGCACAGAAAACCCCATTGAGACCTTGAATTTCAGGTGAGGGAGGATATTCCTTTTTGTTTTAAAATTGGGACATACAGTTAAAGGGTTTTTGGTTGAAGTTATTAGGGTGGGGCTGTCATTTGGTTTTGATGGATCATTGCAGGTATTAGTGTGTCGAGGGAGGTATTGTGGCTATACAGAATAAGACAGGCTGCTATTCAAAGAAGCAAGCACGTGCCAACCAAGCCTTGGATTCTAAGTGTCCTTTCTGCATGTGGTAGATGCCTCTGCGTACAGGAAAGGGGGAGGGCAATTTTCACTGACTCCCCCATGATAATTCTGGGATAATTCTGGTGACCCACAGGGACAACACTTTAAGGGGCACAAAAGGCTTCATCAGAAGGCAGAAGTCCCTGCTTATGCAGTGCAGCTTCACTCATGATGCATAGGATCCCAGCCCAAGTGTGCAACAGATTTTTTAAAAGTTTTTTTGTTTTCCTCTAGTTTCTATCCCAGCAGGATTCCCAAAGTGCTTTAAAGAAAATTTTGCAGGTTTAAAATCTGTTTTGGGAAGTATGATACGAACGTTATTGAAAGAGAAACTGATGTTGGTCAATGCTCTCCCTCTAAGGTGTGGAGTCTTGTGAGCAAAAATTCTACTTTGTGAGCTATTGGCATTAAAGTTGTGAGCAAGTGATCTGGCTACTGCATAAATTAGTTTGCTCTGGAGCCATCCTTCCTGAGTGAAGATAAAAATGTGTGAGCCGGAGGCTAAAAAACTGTAAGCTAGCTCACACTAACTCAGCTTAGAGGGAACAGTGAAGCTGGTGTGTCTGAACTCGGGCACCTTAATTTCTTTAAACAGCTGTTGTGCCAGACTCCCTCCAATATGTTAAGGTGGCAAGTTTTTGTAAAAATTAGGATTTCTGTATTGGCAGCGTGCATGTCTCTCATGGATCACTGCCTTGGCGTGGCGAGGGAGCTTGCGTGGTTCAGTGAGGCTGTGGGCTATGCCGTGGAGGGCCACCCAGGATGGACAGGCCACAGCGGAGAACTCAGACAAAACGTGATCCATTGGAGAAGGAAATGGCAACTCACTCCAGTTATTTTTGCCAACAAAACCCCATGGACAGTAACAAAAGGCTAAAAAAAATGATGCTGGAAGATGAGGTTGGAAGGTGTCCAATATGCTACTGGAGAAGAGCAGAGGGCAAGTACAAGTAACCCCAGAACGAATGAAGTGATTGGGCCAAAGCCAAAAGGATGCTCAGCTGTGGATGTGTCTGATGGTGAAAGGAAAGTCTGATGCTGCAAAGAACAATATTGCATAGCAACCTGGAATGTAAGATCTATGAATCCAGGTAAGTTGGATGTGGTCAGAAATGAGATGGCAAGACTGAGCATCGACATCTTGGGAATCAGTGAACTAAAGTGGACGGGAATGGACAAATTTAACTCTGAAGACCATTAGATCAACTAATGTGGCCAAGAATCCCATAGAAAAAATTGTGTTGCCTTTATAGTCAACAAGAGAGTGAGAAAGGCAGTAATGGGATACAATCTCAAAAACGACAGAATGATCTCGGTCTGAATCCAAGGGAAACTATTCAACATCACAGTAATCCAAGTCTATGCCCCAACCACTGACGCAGAGGCAGCTGAAGTGGACCAGTTCTATGAAGACCTACAACACCTCCTAGAACTAACACCAAAAAAAGATGTCCTTATCATAGGGGACTGGAATGCTAAAGTAGGAAGTCAAAAGGTAACCTGGAATAACTGACAAGTTTGGCCTTGGAGAACAAAATGAAGCCAGGCAAAGGCTAACAGAGTTTTGTCAAGAGAACACACTGGTTATAGCGAACACCGAAATCAGATTGACTGTAGACTTTTTTGAAACGTGGCAAGATTTTATTTTATACACAACTCAGAACAATACCCAAAGTATGTTTAAGCCCTTCCTCAGATTATGGGATAAAGTTAAATAAGCCTCTCTGTATACTTTAATCATATTGTAACTATACATTAATTATGCATGTATATAGGAAACGAAAAAAGAACAAAAATAATTCTTTCTCTTTATATTTATGCTGAATGTTGAGCTCTCTACCAATGCCTTAATTTGCTTGTTTTTCACTTTTTGTCTCCTTTTTTTGCTTTTTTTGTTGTTACGTATACACTGTAAGTTGTTTATATGGGGAGTGGCGTGTGTACTTGATGTTTATGTATTTTTATAATTAAATAAAAATTATTTTTAAAAAGTGTCACTTGCAGTCAAAGATGGAGAAGCTCTATACAATCAGTAAAAACAAGACCTGGAGCTGATTGTGGCTCAGATCATGAGCTACTCATTGCAAAATTCAGACTTAAACTGAAGAAAGTTGGGGAAACCACTAGGCCATTCAAGTTTGACCTAGATCACATCCCTTATGAATATACAGTGGAGGTGAAGAATAGGTTTAAGGGACTAGATTTGATAGAGTGCCTGAAGAACTATGGATGGAGATTTGTGACATTGTACAGGAGGCAGCAATCAGCACCATCCCAAAGACAAAGAAATGCAAGAAAGCAAAGTGGCTGTCTGACGAAGCTTTAGAATTAGCTGAGGAAAGAAGGAAAGCGAAAAGAAAAGGTGAAAAGAAAAGAGTTACCCAACTGAATGCAGATTTTCAGAGAACAGCAAGGAGAGAGGAGGAGGTCTTCCTGAATGAACAATGCAAAGTAATAGAGGAAAACAAAACAATGGGAAGGACTAGAGATCTCTTCAAGAAAACTGGAGAAATCAAGGGAACGTTCTGTACAAAGCTGGCCATTGTAAAGGACAAAAATGGTAGAGACCTAACAGAAGCAGAAGAGATTAGGAAGAGATGACAAGAATACACACAAGAAGGACCTCAATGACCTTGACAACCACGATGGTATGATCACTGACCTTGAGCCAGACATCCTGGAGTGCGAAGTTAAATGGGCCTTAGAAAGCATTACTAACTACAAAGCTAGCGGAGGTGATGGTATCCCAGCGGAACTATTCAGAGTCTTAAAAGATGATGCTGTTAAAGTGCACTCAATATGCCAGCAAATTTGGAAAATGCAACAGTGGCCACAGGATTGGAAAAGGTCAGTTTACATTCCAATCCCAAAGAAGGGCAATGCCAAGGAAGGTTCAAACTATTGCACAATTGCACTCATTTCACACACTAACAAGGTCATATTAAAGATTCTACAAGCTAGGCTACAGCAGTACACGGATAGAGAACTGTCAGAAGTACAAGCTGGGTTTTGAAGAAGTAGGGGAACTAGAGATCAAATTGCCAACATTCGCTGGATTATGGAGAAAGCAAGGGAGTACGAGGAAAACATCTACTTCTGCTTCATTGACTACGCTAAAGCCTTTGCTTGTGTGGATCACAACAAACTATGGCATGTCCTTAACAAGAGGGGAGTACCAGACCACCTCACATGTCTCTTGAGAAACCTGTATAAGGGTCAAGAAGCGACAGAACCGGATGTGGAACAACTGATTGGTTTAGAATAGGAAAAGAAGTGCAACAAGGTTGTATATTGTCACCCTGCTTATTTAATTTAT